CATCTCGTTTGTTCATGCTGTGTGGGCGTTTTTCTATCTCGATGGCTTCTCTGATTATTCTGTTATTAAAATGTTCAGTTTTGGCGATAGTTCTGGTCTTTTTAAAGTCAATTTCATGTCCTGTGATTTTAATGTCCTGCCTTGTATCAGCTCAAACTAGAGCCATCCACAGGCAGCAGTCACAACTGTGACATCATATACTTTTCTAAAATTTGGATTGCTAGCAAAGAATAGGCAATTGGATCAGCAAGGGAATAAAAAGAACTTCCCACCCCCTAAGCCCCACTCTGAGGACTCTGGCAGAGGACCAGCGAAAGCTAAGTTGTTTTAATCTTGTATATAACTGTTTTTATTGTTTTAAATGTTGTTTTAACAATAAATAACTGGAGTATACTCTTCCAGGAGATCGAAGATTGCATCAGTGAACACACACACACACACACACACACACACACACACACACACATATATATATATATATATATATATATAATATTTCTAATTATGTATCAATATATATGACTATAATACCTTTATAGAACGTTATTCTTAGGATTAACGTTGAAAAATAAAATTACAAGTAGAGTTGTACCTTTCCTTATATCAGTATTATCTAGTACAATTTATAATACTCTAAACACCTCTTATATATATTTTTATAGCACTACACACGATGCATATACATATGCATCATGTGTATATGTATTATCACCACTCTTAATTTCATTCACTATCACTCTTATTTGAATAATCACCTGTCTATATTTCTTTACAATACTATAATTACTTTCTCACTTCTATTTAGTTCAATTACACAATTATGCCTATTTCTATTTCGTTAATACAATTCATTTACTTCATTACTTTTAATACATTGCCTGATGCCCCTTTTCTACTTGTAGCTTAGTCACTGCTTGTATATGAGTGCTACAATATTGCATCAGCCTTTTTTTTCTCTCTGTCTCAATTTAATATATCCACCGATCCATCAAATGTCACCTCTTTCTTCTTCTATATATCCAATATTTCCAAAACGTCCACTCGTCACTTTACCCAGATATATGTCAGTTAAAGTCCAAATTTCAATGCAGTTTGTTCTTCAAAAATAGGTTCTACTAAGTAGTATTACATTTCTCCGTTGTCTCACTTCACCTTTCAATCCTTATGTTAATTTTTCAAAGTCCTTCTTAATCACCCTTTATTGCCTCCAACAGTCCTTTCTCCAGTCCTTTCTCTGGTTTCAGTCTCTACTTCTTGCAGTTCTTAAATTCCAGTCTCTCACATTTTATAAACTTTACTGTGAACTCACTGCATCTTCACGCTGCTCTCATTCTGCTCCATTGCTCCCTTCTCCGCTCTATTCCAATTCAGTTGCCGCTGTGTCTCTCTCCTTATAGCTTTGCTTTTTCTGCATCTTCTCTCAGCCAAATGTTCTCATCTCCTTCAGGGGTTTTCCTCGTCTCCGTTACAAAGCTGTCAGTTCTATTTTTCACTCCCTCTCAGACTGCTGCTATCGCTCCAGGCCAGCCTTAAAGACCGGCTTCTTCTTCGCCAATTTTAAAAGTGCTGCTCCTTTTGCTTTCCACCCGGCTTCTCTGAAGCTTCCTCTTTAATTTACCAATCTCTCCGGGATTGGTAAAGCCCTTGCTGGGCTCTTAGTGAAGATTTTTCGGGATTTAGAAACAAAGCTCTGTTTCTTCACCCGCTGCACGATGACGTCACAGCCGGAAGCCCCAAAATAAGTTTATTCAAGCTATGCCAATGGTTCCCAAAATGCCATCTTACATATAGAGGTAGTTATAGTCTCAGTGGACACTATACCATCGTTTCTTATTACCTTCTAGGTAAAGCTACTTCCTATAGGTTTGGCCCCACTGGTATTTAGAGATCATTTTAAATAAGCATGGTTTCAAAAAGTCCTAGATAAAATTTATTCACTGGATTTCTCTATGGAAACTTCTGTTCTTAGATATTTTGATGATGCTAGAACTGCTCTGAAACAATAAATTTGGTATATACTGCAGATCTCAAACAAATTCAAGCAAGGTGCTACCCCAATATTTATTATATTCCTGCAGAAATGGTTTGCTGCAATCTCCTTTTTATCATCCATTATGATTCTGAAATTTTGTCAGGTCTTCACTTTAGCAGGCTGGGTGCATTACCCTCACTAGTCCTTTCTGGATCTTTTGCGGGTACTTCTGGGTACCTTGAGTTATGTCCATATGGTGATGGCTCAATAGAAACTCATATTACTATGCTACTCCTTATATAAGAACTCTAAGTAGACCTTCATTTGAGGGACCCTTGGCGCGCTCTGAGCTTGGTTGTTTTCTTGGTTGTTTTCAGTGATGACTAGCACTGATGAAGTTACCTAGTTTGGGTAATCATACATGTGCAAGAAAACAACCAAGTTCAGACAGCACCAAGAATCCCTCATTTCAACCATGAGCTACAAATATTCTCCTTTATTGAGACCTTCATTTATGCACACAAGAAGTCAAAAATATTTTTCCAAGCTTCCCAATTTGGTGCTACCATCTATACAAAACCCACAACATTATTTTTTCATTCTATTTTATTTCATCTGTTCTTAATTATTTTTATATCCTATTATATTTATTGTGTTTCATATTCTACCATGATATATTTTATTGTATTTGGACTTAGGGCTGTAATAAACTGATTTGATTTGTTATCATAATTATCATATTTGTGTTTATATGTACAAGTCTGCAAAAAAGCTATTGAATATAAAAAAACTTAGAACAGAACATGATTATAAAGATGTAATTTGATATATACTATTATTATATTTTTTTTTAAAAAAAATAATGTTCGTCCCTTCAAAGGAGTGTTGACTCCTCATGATTACATAGACAAGTCCTTGCAGTTTTTTTAAGCAAGATTTCCAAAGTGTTTGCCTTTGCCTGCTTCTTAGGCCTGGCTAAAAGAGAGTCATTGGCCAAAGTCACCAAGCTGGCTTCTTCCCTAAGGCAGAACTATAACTCACAGTCTCATAATTTCTAGCCTGGTGCCTTAACTACTATATACAAGTAGCTATATGATATATTGTACATTTATATAAGTTTAGAAAGAAGATAATTGAGCCTATATATTGTAAGATTTAGTAGTTATAAGAGCCATAGAATTTTTGTGTAATGGCATGATTTCTGTTGTCTTTTCAGATTCAATCAAATATAGGATTCATTTTAATGGGAAAAATATTGATGACTTGAAAAAAATAGAGTGTAATTAAATATTGTCCTGATTTAATTCAAGAAATAAACTAAAAATAAAGAATAAAGTTTAATACATATATGTGATATATATTCATAAAGAAAGTGGGTAGGGGGAGTGGAAGAAAGTAGTAATGTTACATTCAAAATTGACATTCTGAAAAATGTTATGACAAATAAATACATATTTCAGGAAATCCTTGACTTACGACCATAATGGAAATTTTACTTTCCATAATGGAAATAAATTCCAGTTTTTGAATACATACATACACACACACACACACACACAAATACACAAACACAAATATGTGGTCATGTGACAGAGGAGGGGCTGTTGGAACTTTGGAACTGTGATGTTATCTTTTGGGGATCTGTTGTAGGTTCAGCGAGACAGTAAGCAACTGGTCATACGTTGAAGACTACCTATATAAAAATCATTTTGTCCCATGATAACATGCAATAGAAAATAATGCTATTTAAATATTACCATAGAAGTAATACACATTGCTGAAATTAAGTAGAAACAACATTGAGAAAATGAGGATTCAATCCTAATAAAAGCACAATTCTACAATGTATCTAAATTTGATAGAAATAGGGTTGCAGTCATCTGCATTTTTATACTCCATAAATTTGGAATGATTTTTAAAGTGCAGATTGATTTTAAAGAAAACAATTAGGCAGAGTAACATGAGCAAAATTTTCTTCTAGAATAACTAATATTATTACCCATTCCTAAATCATATGCATACAGAGGTAACATAAATTACAAGAAAGAATGCTATGGTATCTTAAAGACTAGCAAATTATGGTGTATGTTAAAGACTAATAGACCTAACACAAAGCTTTGTGAACTGCAAGGAATGGAACCTGCTAGATATCTAAATTTCATGATTTCTTCTGGACAATTTCCTTTAAGAAAAGATATTCTCATGTGGTGGCTGTGCCCCAAAGCAAAAAATTATTGGGAACGAATAAGAGATTGGATACAGGAGATAACTGAGATACAAATGGATTTCAAACCAGAATTATTTCTTTTGGGCATAATAAATTTAAAGATGAAAAAAACAACTCCAACACATCATTATACACATATTGACTGCAGCTCGTATAGCATATGCTCAATGTTGGAAGAGTGAAAATATTCCCACAAATGATATGATTATGTACAAAATCTTGGAATGCACAGAAATGAACAAACTTACTTTAAGAATTAAAAGACAAGGAGGCAACAGAATTTTATGAAATTTGGAATAAATGTTATAATTGGCTAGAACAGAGAAAGGAAAAGACATAACTATTGATGTACATAAAATGTAAATAAGATGTAAAGAATGCTTAAAATGTATAGTACTGTTCTGTTAAAAGAAAAGATTTAGGTTTATGTATTTTAAGTTTGTTTTGGTGTATGGTGTATGGTGAAAAATAAAAAAAAAATTAAAAAAAAGAAAAGAAAATTCTGATATTCAATAGATCAGTTCACATACTAAACAGTCACATCCAGAAACTCATTGGAAATGATAAATAACAATTATTCCATTTAACTTTAAGCTTGGCTGAACTGCCTATATTTTCTCTTAATGCAACATCTATAAATGTTCATTGTGAACACTTGGCACCAATCTCATTAACAATAAAATTACACTCTGTTTCAATGATGAAAAGTGAAAACCTGAGACAAATGCACAGAAATGAAGGGTTGTATATACTCTAATAAGGAACAATGAATATTATATATATAAAAATCTAAAGACTTACGTTGACAGTCCTTGCAGCACTTGCCATCAACGTACGCAGGCGCAGAATTATGAGGACAATCAAAAAGTGGGCAAATCAATCTTTCACATTGGATAGTACCATTCTAAAAAACAAAAGCTTCTTTTAAAAATCATTGCCAGGACCTAGACTATTAATTTTCCAAATAAATAAAACTGGGCAGTTGAAGACATGAATTCTTTGAAACATATCATACCTTATATAACAGTAATTATGAAGGCGAAAAACATTCTAAGATGATTTAGATTTCTGATAAACCATTTCAATTATTCCTAAAAATGTTCCAAATCCTGTCATTTTCAAACAAGATGCTGTATTGTACTGTAATTTGGAAGGCTAGCAACTATTACATTTCAGTATGATTTTTCATAAATCAAAGTCTTTCAAATTATGATGTGTCTTCCACAAATCAACTATTATATCTCTCTTATCTTATTCTGCATCTCTGTCTTTACATCTCTCTACTCTGTAAACTGCTAAGGAATAATTGTGCAGCTATACATTTCTTTTTTATTATTATATATTTTATTGATTTTTTAAAAAACTAACAACCTAGTGCTTAGTAAACAGCATGTTGTCTGAATTCACATTTCACAACAATCAATAATAGTCAATTTCTATCATATCGTACTATGCATAACAGCTTTCCTTGATTTTCTCTTCTTCCCATATTGTTCTCTTTTGCAAGCATTAGTACTCTGCATAACAGCTTTCCTTGATTTTCTCTTCTTCCCATATTGTTCTCTTTTGCAAGCATTAGTATTTTAGTAACAAAGAGGTTAAATATAAACATTTTTCTAACATTTATCCAATTAATAATAGCATCAATATAGAACTTCTTTTCTAGTTAGTCCTCTTGGTTGCGTTATATGTCCTGTTTTCAACATTCTCATTTAGACTTTTTCTCCACAAAATTGAAATCATTTTTATCTGTTAAGATTTTCTCAGTTGATTTACAGTTAAATATCTAAGCTGTTTCCCTCACAATAATCCTCCCAACAATTATATTTCTCATATCATAAAAAAATACAATACTACTCAGAAGAAAGAAGAAAAAGCAAAAGAGGAAAAACTAAAATGCATTTATATCCCCCATTTTTTCATTTTTTAACTTTATTCCATTCGATATTTACTAATTAAGTAATCCATGTTATATTTTAACCATATTCAAACAAATGCTTAATCTTTAAAAATTGCTTCTGATAGGTCCAATCTTCTAATCCCTTGAATCTGATTTTAGTCTTTTTTCTTTTGCCAAATAGCTTTTCTCGTCCATCTATTCCATTTAGTTAAAAAGTCTTGCCATTTTCTTGTGGATGTTGTTAAGGATGGGAGAAACAAACCAAGTAAGATTTCTTTTATCTTTTTTTGTCTCTTAAGTCGTAGATTTTTTGGTATCTCTGTAATCCATTTTGTCAGGCTTTTCTTCTTATCTTTGGCTTTGTTTTGTGATTCTGGGGTGTGGACTATCTCTTCCAATTCGGGTGCTTCACTCATGTCTTGTGTGTTTTCCTCCATCTGCATTAAATCATAATCCCTTCCATTGGTAGATTCTTTCATTTTCTGAAAATTCTTATGTTGTGGGGTTAACGTAAAGTTATGTCCATTTATGTCATCAAAGTTGTTTTTAATTTCATTGTGATTTAGAGCCATTGTTGTTTGGATTAGTTGCAACATAGCGAGCATGTCCTCCTGGAAAGCATTTGGTTTTTTCTTGACAAGCTCTTTTTGCAAGCTCTTGAGATTCCATGATAACTAGAATTCAAATATTTTTCTTTCTCTGAAAACAGCTTTAAAGTCACAGTCAATAGGTGTTTATCATCCAGGAAGGTCAGTTATGTTTTTTTCAGTTATAATCTTTGCTTCTTGTGGCTGGCCCAGAATCTTTGTTAGCTCTTTTTAAAGATCAAAGAAGTATGTTATCTCAGGGCTCAAGACCTATCTCAAGACCCTGTAGATGCTGCAACATTTCAGCTGATCAGTGCTTCTTCTGAGCTCCAGCTGGAGCCTGGCACTGATCCTGGTGCTTCCACGGAGCACTGATAGCCCTGTAGCTCCAGACATCTTTCGCTCAGGCTTGGGTGGTGCTGCCACCAGTTCAGCTCATTCCCCTCCCCCACTACCACTTTTCTAGGGTGGTCGCGTACCACCTGCCAGGTGCCAATGTACAGGTGGTACCCGTACCACTGGTTGAAAAGCCCTGTGTTATCTCATTCTGGGCATCCTGCCAATACTTATAACAAAGCAGCTAAAGTTATATATTCTCTTCCACCACTAGATGTCAGCAACAGTAAGTTTTGTCCTCCTTAATAGTTTAATTCACCACTTCCTTCTGTGTGAGGGTAGGGCAAAGCTCCCCCTCCTTTCACTTTCAGAGTCTTTTTTGCTTCTTGGAGTATCTTTTCCAAAAGTTCAGGATATAGAGTAGGAGAGAGAAGATCAAATTCCTCACCCAGTTTCAGCACACTGTTCACTGATGTTCTGGTGAGTACTTGTGGACTTCGGCTGCAAGTAGCTTGGGCTGGTTACTGAGATGGGGCCAGCCTTTCTCCTATCGGGTTAGAGGGAATTTCCCAATTGAATGGGATGACCGCCATCATTCCTGAATCACTGGGGCACCCCTCTTCTTCACTGCCTCTTCGGGGCAGCTTTAGACCCATTTAGGGTCCCCTGGCAGAGCGAAAAGAGCTGCGGGAAGTGGAGCTTTCGCAATCCCATGACCGTGTTGTTGTTGTTAATTGCGAAGTCATGTCCGACCCATCGCGACCCCATGGACAATGTTCCTCCAGGTCTTCCTGTCCTCTACCATTTCTGGAGTCCATTTAAGTTCACACCTACTGCTTCAGTGACTCCATCCAGCCATCTCATTCTCTGTCGTCCCCTTCTTCTATTGCCCTCAATCTTTCCCAGCATTAGGCCCTTCTCCAGTGAGTCCTTCCTTCTCATTAGGTGGCCAAAGTATTTGAGTTTCAACTTCAGGATCTGGCCTTCTAAAGAGCAGTCGGGGTTGATCTCTTCTAGGACTGACCGGTTTGAACGCCTTGCAGTCCAAGGGACTCGCAGGAGTCTTCTCCAGCACCATAGTTCAAAGGCCTCAATTCTTTGGTGCTCAGCCTTTCTTATGGTCCAACTTTCACAGCCATACATTGCAACTGGGAAAACCATGGCCTGGACTATACGCACTTTTGTTGGCAGGGTGATGTCTCTGCTTTTTAGTATGCTGTCTAGATTTGCCATAGCTTTCCTCCCCAGGAGCAAGCGTCTTTTAATTTCTTGGCTGCAGTCCCCATCTGAGGTGATCTTGGAGCCCAGAAAAATAAAATCTGTCACTACCTCCATTTCTTCCCCATCTATTTGCCAGGAATTGAGAGGGCCGGATGCCATGATTTTGGTTTTCTTAATGTTGAGTTTCAAGCCAACTTTTGCACTCTCCTTCTTCACCCGCATCAAGAGGCTCTTTAGTTCCTCTTCACTTTCTGCCATTAGAGTGGTATCATCTGCATATCTTAGGTTGTTGATATTTCTCCCGGCAATCTTAATTCCAACTTTTGATTCATCTAGCCCTGCCTTTCTCATGATGTGCTCTGCATATAAGTTAAATAGGCAGGGCGACAGTATACAGCCTTGCCGGACTCCTTTTCCAATTTTGAACCAATCAGTGGTTCCGTGTCCAGTTCTCACTGTTGCTTCTTGACCCGCATATAGGTTTCTCAAGAGACAAATGAGATGGTCTGGTACTCCCATCTCTTTAAGAACTTGCCACAATTTGTTGTGATCCACACAATCAAAGGCTTTTGCATAGTCAATGAAGCAGAAGTAGATGTTTTTCTGGAACTCCCTAGCTTTCTCCATGATCCAGCGTATGTTGGCAATTTGATCTCTAGTTCCTCTGCCTCTTCGAAATCCTGCCTGTACTTCTGGTAGTTCTCGATCCACATACTGCTGGAGTCTAGCTTGTAGGATTTTAAGCATAACTTTACTAGCATGTGAAATGAGTGCAATGGTGCGATAGTTTGAACATTCTTTGGCATTGCCTTTCTTTGGAATTGGAATGTAAACTGACCTTTTCCAATCCTGTGGCCACTGTTGAGTTTTCCAAATTTGCTGGCAAATTGAGTGTAGCACTTTTACTGCATCGTCTTTTAAGATTTTGAATAGCTCAGCTGGAATACTGTCACCTCCACTAGCTTTGTTGTTGCTCAGATTTTCTAAGGCCCATTTCACTTCACATTCTAGGATGTCTGGTTCGAGGTCAGTGACCATCTCATTGTGGTTATCTGGGATGTTAAGCTCATTCTTGTATAGTTCTTCTGTGTAGTTTTGCCATCTCTTCTTAATCTCTTCTGCCTCTGTTAGGTCTCTGCCATTTTGGTCCTTTATCATGCCCATCTTTGCATGAAACGTTCCCTTCATATCTCCAATTTTCTTGAAGAGATCTCTGGTCCTCCCTATTCTGTTGTTTTCTTCTATTTCTTTGCACTGTTCATTTAAGAAGGCATTCTTATCTCTTCTAGCTACTCTCTGGAATTCTGCATTCAATTGGGTGTATCTTTCTCTTTCTCCTTTGCCTTTCGCTTCCCTTCTTTCCTCAGCTATTTGCAAAGCTTCCTCAGACAGCCATTTTGCTTTCTTGCATTTCTTTTTCTTTGGGATGGTTTTAGTTGCTACCTCTTGTACAATGTTGCAAACTTCCATCCATAGTTCTTCAGACACTCTGTCTATCAGATCTAATTCCTTAAATCTGTCACCTCTACTGCATATTCATCAGGAATATGATTTAATTCATACCTGAGTGGCCTAGTGCTTTTCCCTACTTTTTTCAATTTAAGCCTAAATTTTGCAACGAGAAGCTCATGATCTGAGCCACAGTCAGCTCCTGGTCTTGTTTTTACTGACTGTATACAGCTTCTCCATCTTTGGCTGCAGAGCACATAGTCAATCTGATTTTTATGTTGACCATCTGGTGATGTCCATGTGTAGAGCCGTCTCTCGGGTTGTTGGAAAAGAGTGTTTGTTATGACCATCGTATTCTCTTGACAAAATTCTATTAGCCTGTGCCCTGCTTCATTTTGTACTGCAAGGCCAAACTTGCCTGTTATTCCGGTTATCTTTTGGCTTCCTACCTTAGCATTCCAATCCTCCATGATGATAAGGACATCATTTTTTGGTGTTAATTCTATAAGGTGCTGTAGGGTTTCATAGAACCGGTCAATTTCATCCTCTTCAGCACCAGTAGTTGGGGCATAGATTTGGACTACTGTGATATTGAATGGTTTGCCTTGGATTCGAATTGAGATCATTCTGTCATTTTGGGGATTGTATCCCAGTATTGCTTTTCCTATTCTTTTATTGACTATGAAGGCTACTCCATTTCTTCTGAGGGATTCTTGCCCACAGTAGTATACCTGATGGTCATCTGAGTTAAATTCACCCATTCCTGTCCATTTTAGTTCGCTGATTCCTAAGATGTCGATGTTCAGTCTTGTCATCTCTTTTTTGACTACGTCTAGCTTGCCTTGATTCATGGATCTTACATTCCAGGTTCCTATGGAGAAAAAATCTTTACAGCATCGGACTTTCCTTTCACCACCAGATATATCCACAGCTGAGCGTCCTTTCGGCTTTGGCCCAGTCGCTTCATTCTTTCTGGCGCTACTAGTACTAGCCCTCTGCTCTTCCCCAGTAGCATATTGGACACCTTCCGACCTGAGGGGCTCATCTTCCAGCATCATATCTTTTTTCCTTTTAGTACTGTCCATGGGGTTTTCATGGCAAAGATACTGGAGTGGTTTGCCATTTCCTTCTCCAGTGGATCACATTTTGTCAGAACTCTCTGCTATGACCTGTCCGTCTTGGGTGGCCCTGCACGGCATAGCTTATAGCTTCATTGAGTTACCCAACAAGGCAGTAATCCATAAAGGGGCACGACCTTGTACTACTGGGCAAAATCGGAAGTCCCCAGCTATAAATTTCTTATGAAACATTCCTTTAGGTAAGAAGTCACCTAATAATTTGAGAAGATAAAGCACAGCTCTAAAATGTAAATCTGTTGGAGAAACGCAAGCAGAGCAGAATGTAGACAAGACTAGCCACCCTAACCAATGAATGCTTTAGTAACATCATCATTTGAAATTTCCTGTTCTTAAATTATTAATAATAATTGCATAGTTCTGATAAAATCAAATGCAATAAGCCAACTTCCTAATCTAGTGAATTGGGTATGTTCTACATGAATAATTAACATTTTTTACAACATTGAGATTGCTTCACTAACACAAAATAGACAGTCCCAATAATGGAAGAGTATTTCATGAAGCATTAAATTGTGGTTAACATGTTTTAAATGCAGCTACATTTCCGACAGCATAAAATACAGTATAATTGTGAACTGATCCTAAAGCCATCTGCTATTTTTAATGTACTCCTTATACCAGTTTCACTGAAATGAACTGAATTTGTTACACTTATTTCTTTGCTTTATTAAGCTTTCACTCAAGTTTCTATTTTCTATAAGCTTTAGCCATATTTTAATACATTCCGACCACAAATCCTATTATTCATTGTAACAGAGAAGATCAGGCTATTTCCTCAGGCATTTGGTTTACAATGAATTCCCTTCTGGTGACATTTAACAAATTTGAGCCCCTTTTGGCTTTTTAATAGTTATACCTTCGTTATACCTAGTACTGTTATTTTGTCTTATTTTTTCTATTGGTACTTTTAGTGCTACCCAATTCATGTTGTGAATTGGAAAGCCATATAAAAGCTATAAATAAACAAACATCAGCCACAGGGAGAACAGGCTGAAAAGGCAATACTTTTGCTGATTCTGATATTTCTCAGCATTAGAATATTAGAATAGCTCTATTTCATCAAAAATATTTGTCTAAAAGCATGTTGCAACATTTTAAAAGAGGAAGTACAACATATTATAATGTAAATAAAATTTATAAAAATTATGCATATGATTTTATAACATTGGTTGGCCTAATTACAGATTCTGCAATTTTTTGGCCACTAGGATTTCTTTTGCTTTTAAGTAATTTAGTTTGATATTTTTTTTTATCAAAACACATAAGCATTTTTAATATACAATTAGGTCCTAGAATTTTTTCAAATTTACACTCATACCATGCAAGTGCAGTTCTTACAGCCATCTGTCCAAGATTCAAATTCTCTGTAGCTGATACTCTTCATAGTGCAGGTTCTTTCACAATAGCACTGATTCAACTTATTAATCCTTTGCTCAGCTCGGGACAGCTAGGTCACAGAAAGAGATTTATTAACTGCAGAAAGATTTGCCTTCACAAATTAAGCTCACTATGTAATTCATCTCAATCTACAGAAGAATATTGCTAAATATGAAAACATAAATTTTGATCCTAGCTTGAAGCTAAAAAGTTAAGGAAAGGTCTTAACTTCTTATGACCACTAATTTCAATATGCTACATTTTCTCTTATGATAAGTACCTAATTCAACACTTTAAATTTTGTAGCATGTCCAATTGACTATTAGGAGGGAGTGAAATTGTTCTAAACATTACTGTTAATATTTTAAGAATCAAATATCAAATTGCACAATTATGTGCCAATGTATTTTGTTACTTTAGAGGTATACTATAGACAGTACTATATTTCACACAATATTTTGGAAGAATGTTATTTCTTCTTTATGGAATAATAAACAGATCCCCAACTAATTAACATAGTATAAGAAACAACTTTTATTAACTTATTCTCTCTCTCTGTTTTTTCTTCTTTCCTTTGCTTTTAATGGCAATTTTACAATAAAATTTCATGCACTTAGGGAATTTCTTAGCATAATTGAGCCTATGTAATTATCATTTCAGGTAGTTAATATAGTAATACAGTAATGGTAATAATATAATCATCTAATTATATAGAATTAATTCACAAAGACCAAGCTATTAGGTATAACAATGCTAAAAACGTCATATATTCATTTGTTGAATCAATTATATTTAAAATTAGGATCATTTTTCAGAACACTGATATTAAAAATGTCTTATATTTTATCAGTTTAAACTAACAGCAACAATGTTACTACAATGTGAGTAAATTACCTGATACTTCCAATGAATGAATGCAATAATAATTACATATACATAAGTAGTTCATAAAGAAGCTTTATTTAGATTTTCAATGTTAGATTTGTGTAAAAACTGCACTTCAAATCAATTTTTGTTGTTGTTTAAGTGAAATACGTTAGTGTTATTCAGTTCACTAAAAAGCTTCTGAGGAGCTTATTACCTTTGCAGATGTTTTGGCTAAAATATCCTGCAACTCCATTATTTTCTGCACAAGACCATGGAAGTCATTACACGTTGGGCATGCTGAAATTACAAACACTGCATTGATCCCATTGTACTTCCTTTAAGCAAAAAAATTGCAATCTTATATATCTACCAAAGCTGACTGAACTTAATACAAACAGCAACTCTATAGACATTCATAAGATTGTCCTTTCAATCTCAAGTTGTACTGAAGAGCAATACATTTTAAGAACTAATCTTAATGTATAAAAAATTAAACAAGATCCATCATACTGGATATTGTGGCATAAAAACTAGAGGACTTACTGCGATTAAGATCTGGGCACTGAGAGATAAATCCTTGAGGCATGATAAGAAATTTCGCATCTTGCATTATGCCCTGTAGCAAAGTGATACAAGAAAGTTTATATTCCTGGCAATACAGGTAGTCCTCAACTTACAACTGTTCATTTAGTGATGATTCAAAGTTACAATGGCATTGGAAAAAGGGACTTATGACCATTTTTTACATTTATGACCATGTCATGTGATCAAAATTTGGATGCTGGGCATCTGGTTCATATTTATGACAGTTGTAGTATCCAGGAATCAGGTGATCAGCTTTTGTGACCTTCTGATAAGCAAAGTCAATGGGGAATCCAGATTAATTTAATAACCTTGTTATTATTTTTTTGTTAAAAAAATTTATTTTCAATTTTGCAATCTTAAAAATACTTCAGATAAAAAATAAAACAAATTAATACACACCATTTTCGGTATTGCTCACCCATTTCCCCCCAAACCGCATCCACTCTCTAACCAACTTACCTCTTTCCCTCTTCTTTCTCTTTCTCCCTCACCCCCCCTCCTCCACCTTCCTACTTACTTCTCACCTTCTTCTATCCTCTCACTCCGGATGCTATCCGGGGGAAATGCCCGAGCAATCCCTCTCTCCAAATTGAAACCTCAATATTATATACAATAAAAACTATTTCTACTTATCTGAACTACTAAAATTTCAACCCATCCTTCCCCCACCCCCCTCCCCAACCCCCCTCCCCCTGACTTCCCAGAGCTAAGTACAGGGTTATACAAATATACTAAACATGATCTATTTAAGTTTACTAATTATACAATAACCAAAATCATACTAATCCTTAACTCTCTTCAAACTTTAACATCATAATTTTATAAACAAATTCATTACTCATAAAATAAATGAAACTTTGTAGTTCCAGACTTTTTCTGAACATATTCTATCCATCTTCTCCATACATTGAAATATCTCTCTTGTGAATGGTCCTTTAAATAAGCAGAAATTTTGGCCATTTCTGCTAAATTAGAAACCTTAAATACCCATTCTTCTAAAGAAGGCAGAGTATCCTTCTTCCAATATTGACCCACCAATAATCTTGCTGCTGTTATTAAATTCAACATTAAAATAGTTTCTTTAACATCAAAATCCACAAAAATACCCAAAAGAAATAACTGGGGAGTAAACTTAATCTTTCTTTTAAAAACCTTTTGAATGTTCCACCAAATCATAATCCAGAAGGCTTTAATATTTTTACAAGTCCACCAAACTTGAAAATAAGTTGCATCCAAGCAACCACATTTCCAACATTTAGGTTGCATGTTCGGGTACATACAAGAAAACTTTTTAGGATCCAGATGCCATCTATAAAACATTTTATAAAAATTTTCCCTCAAATTTTGAGCCTGCGTAAATTTAACATTTCTAATCCAAATTACCTCCAATAAGCCCAATGAAATCGGTTCCTGAATGTTCTGGGCCCATTTAATCATACAATCTTTTACCAATTCTGATTCCAAATCCAATTTTATTAACTCATTATAAATTCTTTTAATGTGGGCATGTTTCTAATCTTTAATCTGAATTACCAAATTTTCATCTACTAATGTAATTCCCACTTTCTTATCAAAAGTCCATCTCTCCACTATTTGCAAATATTGAAACCACGATTGTAAAATATTTTCTTGCCTTAGCACATCTGAAGACTTTAGTTGCCAATCAGTATCTGACCAAATAAGTAACTCTTTATATGAAATATTATCAAAATTCACCCCCTTAGAAACCCCCTGAATTGCTTGTCCAGGAATCCCCCAAATAGGTATTTTATAGTTTAATTTACAATAATACTTCTTCCATACTCGAAGTAAAGCATTTCTTAAAATATGTGACTTAAAAACCCAATCTACTTTCTTATCAAAAATTAAATATGCATGCCAACCATATAATAAATCCCAACCTTCAAGAGCAAGAATATTTTTATTTGTTAAATTAAGCGAGTCACTTACTAAAGTTAAAGTGGCCGCATCATAATATAATTTCAAATTAGGTGCTTTAAGTCCACCTCTTTCTCGAGCGACTTGTAAAATCTTAAACTTTACCCTTGCTTTCTTCCCACCCCAAATAAATTTATTGATACCCTTCTGCCATTCATCCAAATTAACATCGTTTTTTAAAATAGGTATCATCTGAAACAAAAAAAGAAACTTTGGTAGAACATTCATCTTTACTACTGAAATTCTCCCCAGTAACGATAGTTGCAGTTTTTGCCAATCATTTAAAACTTTTTGAACTTTAACCCATAAGCGTTCATAATTATTCTTATACAATTTTCCATTAGATGTTGTAATATAAACTCCTAAATACTTAACCTTATTAACTATTTCATAACCGGTTGTTTCAGCTATAAAATCTTTTCCCTTCCTAGACATATTTTTCAATAATATTTTAGTTTTATTCTTATTTACCTTAAAACCAGAGACCTGTCCATACTGTGCTAAAATTTCAACCAAATCTTTGACCGAATCTGTTGGATGGGATAATGTCACAACCAAATCATCAGCAAAAGCTCTCAGCCTATAATCAATCTTACTTATTTTTATTACTTTTAATCTAGATGAGTCTCGAATTTTAATAAGTAAAATCTCCATTTTTAATACAAATAGCAAGGAGGATAAAGGACAACCCTGTCTTGTACCTTTTCCTATTTTAAATACGTCTGTTAATCCCCCATTAACTATAATTTGTGCCGATTGTTGTTGATAAATGGCCTTGAGATCACACAAAATTTATCTCCAAAATTCATTTCCTCTACAACTTTCAATAAAAAATTCCAATCTAATTGATCAAAAGCTTTCTCAGCGTCTATAAATATTAAAGCAGCAGGGATTTGGTTGTTCTTATCCAAATACTCTATTAAATTAACCATTTGTCTTACATTGTTTTTCATATATCTCCCCATTATAAATCCAGATTGCTCAGTATGAATCAATTGTTTCAAAACCTGCATTAATCTATTTGCCAGTATCTTTGCAAAAATATTATAATCTGTATTTAAAAGAGATATAGGCCTGTAATTTCTGGGTTGGGACAGATCCTGGTCTTCCTTTGGAATCAATGATATAAAGGCCGTTCTCCAAGATGGAGGTAACACCGCTCCAGACAAGATATCATTAAAGAGTTCCTTTAATAGTTCTACCATTTCTTCAGATAGCATCTTATAATAAATTGCTGTTAACCCATCAGTACCTGGAGCCTTACCAACCTTCAATTGTTTAATTGCAAAAATAATCTCTTCAGAAGTAATTAAACCATTAATCCCATCACGTTGATCACTCGTAAGTCTAGGAAAATGTGCTTCCTGTAAATATTTTTCTATATCTGAAGTTTGTATAATTTCACTAGCATATAACTTTGAGTAAAAGTCTAAAAAGACTTTTTAATCAAATTTTGTTGGTAGACTTCTTTTCCTTTATAAATTATTTTATCTATAATCCTCGATTTCTGTTTCTTACGTAATTGATAAGCCAACCATCTACCAGATTTATTTGCATTACAAAATGTATTATGTTTCACATACCTCAAATTAGTTGCCATCTGATCCGCTAATAACATATTAAATTGCTCCTTCAGCAGAGTAATAGAAATCTTTAAATTATTATCCATTGGGTTTGATATTAACATCTTTTCCTTACATTTAATCTCATCTTCAAGATCTTTACGTTTCTGAGTCTGTTTACGTCTATAAGCATTATTCATAGAAATCAAAATCCCTCTCATATATGCTTTACTAGAATCCCATACCATTGGCATCGAGGTACCCTTATTCATATTCCAAGTAAAAAATTCCTTTAAATAACCTCTACATCGCTGTATATTCTCTTTTTTATATCTCTCAACATTAATTCAGGATCAATTTCCAAAATAGAAGGCAGTTCTGCTGCAATTTCTTCTTTCAAATTCTCCTTCAAGCCTCTTATTTTCAGAGCATACTCCATCTCTCTATATTGTGACATTATGATTTCATTTTGTGCAACATCCACATTATCTTCTATTTTTTCAACTCTATCTTGTAATATTTCAATATTACCAGCCACTTCATCCATGCGGTCATCAATATTTTCCACAAGGCCAGCAAGCCCTTGAAGTGCCAACACAATATCTTCTCTGAACTCATTATGTTTTTGAGCCAAGAGCTCTGCTGTTTTTTCCAGTGTCTTATCTAAAGCATCTTGTAAATCCTTAAGAGTAAGTGCCTGAGGTGGAGGCGAAGGTGGAGAAGGTTTAGGTTTAGGTTGTTGTACAGTCTGAGTTACTGGAGAGGCAGTTGAAATTTTAGGAAGAGAAGAAGGTCCAGGACGTTTTGAAGCCATTTTAAAAAGGGGAAAAAAGGGTTCCCCCCCCTTCTTTTTTCAAAAAGTAATAAAATAAAAATAAAGGAGAAGAAAAAGCAGTTCCCCCTTTGACAGGAAAAATTTCTTTAAGTAAACCAAGTCTGTCAGATTGTTAAAACTTTGTTACCAGTTGAAAATAGTAAATGGAAAGTAAAAAGTGAAAGTTCTCAGACAAAGAAAGTAACAAAGAAGCAGGATTCCTCCGCCATATTTCTTCACTCCAGTTGAAATAATAACAGGAGAAGATGTTTAGTCACACTGAGTTAGGTTTAAAATAAAATCCAATTCTTATCTTTCTGACCGCTCTGTCTGCTTTAAATTAACTTACTGTTTTCCTTTAAACCGCAGCAGTGGAGGCAGCGTCTAGCTTCGTTCTCCCAACGGAGAACAAAGGCATCCAGGAAAATGGAGCAGCACCCAGACTCCGAGGGAGCTCTCACTATTCGTCTCCCAGGAAAAAACTGGGAGACTTGTGAGGCTCTACCTCTATCCGGGCAAAACCTCACCTTCCTCCCTTCGCCCGGGAGGAAGGTTTCAAGCCACAAAACAGCTGATTGGCGCTGTTTTGCTGGCTTTTATGCTTCCCTGTGACAGACAGCTGTCAGATAGCCACCATTGTCACCGGCGCAGCCACCGAAAGTCAGACAATAACAATATTATTAACTGAACAACTGCAATGATTTATTTAAGAACTGT